CTGGTGCTCATGGATGTGCATCACCAGCAACCAGCACCCAGATAAGCAAAGGTTACTACCAGGCACACAATCAAGCGGTAAACATGCTAATCAAGGAACTACCAGAGGAGCAAAACAAACAAAAAAACCTCCCACCCCCACCAGCACTGGCAAAGCATGCCACAGTATATAAATAGAGAGCAAACCTCATCCCATTTTAGCACTGAAGATGTTATCTAGCCGGGTAATGAAATATTTGCAAGAAAAGAACCAAGCTCAGGGAACCCCAAGACAGCAATTAGTTTCCTCTCTCATCATAACTGTTGTACATAATCATAAGATAAACAGAGAGGCTCCATGTCTTTTAAGTAAGTCTTAATAATGTTAGGCTGTGAATACCTGCCAGTAAATGGAGGCACCGATGTGGATTTCTCAGGCTGGACTGTCAAAGTAGATTCCGTAGAAGCAAGAGGAAACACCAGTGGCTCAAAGGTCTGAGTTCCCATGGTATTCATCATGGGTAGGCACTTTTTACGATTAGCTTCATTGGTCCCCAACTTTGGAACCAGGGCAATCAATTCAGAAGACCCAGTTTTTAGTCTTCTTGACCTTAATTCAATTAAGAATTAGGTTTAAACAGATACTATATTAACTGCTTAATGAGTAATAGCAAATAATTAAAGCACTGGAGAATTTTTTAAAAAGAACTAACAGAAACATTGAAGGATCTGTGATCTAGAATAGGCTTTCCCAACCTAAATGCTTTCTGGATGTAGTAGACTCCCAAAATTCTCTCAGCAATGGTCCTATTAGTTGGGAATTCTAAGAATTAAAGTCTACAAATCTGGACATCATCCAGGTTGGAGAAGGATGATATAGAAGAATGTAGCATTTTAAGATTATCCAATGACCTATTTTTTTTCTCTGAAAACAGTCCACTTTCTAAGAAATAAAGGGGAGTATAATCATGGTTTTCTTTCCCAGAAGTGACATGCTTCTTCCAGCTTCTGACAGTCCAAGATGTCTAGGCCCTAAAAATAGATGCTACAATCCTTTCACAAAACTTGGTAGGTAGGAGTACCATAAATTATACTGAATCAAGGTCAGTTGACATACCACAAAAAGGTTGTCCAGACATTGGTGAAGAGGAACTAAACTATTTGTTTCTAGGGAGGGATAAACATTTTTTTTCACTGAAGGCTCAATATACATGATATGCAACACTTTTTTCTTTTAACAGAAATTGATTCTAATGAAATAAATGGTAACATGATTTTTAAATATTATTTTTTCATAAATTTATGAATCTGAATATTATGTCTGTATGAAGGTGTTGGCATCTTTTTATTTGATCTGTAAAGAACCACAAACATATGACCTCAAGGACTATGTAATACCTATTTTTTTTTTACTCAATATGCTGCTGCCATCTGGTGGAATAAAACATCTTTACTAGGATGAATATTCAAATTATTATCCTCAAGTAGTGTTAGCTTATGGCCTTTCAACTAACTATATATAGTCATCTTGGGACATTATTTGACAGTACATAAACTCCAGATCTGCTTCTAAATAGTTTAATATATATACTTATATTGCTTTGGAAATTTATCTTTTTATCAAGTCAAAAAGAAAGCAATATTACTGAACCTCTGGCAGAGTTTAATACTCCTTTCTCCATCTCGTCACATAAAATACCCTTGCAGGCACAGAAAAGATGCAGAGCATTCTCCCTCCATAAAGAAAGCATGCAAATTGGAATGTGTCACAAGTAAGAGGTGAAAAGTAGTCAAAAAAGACACTATCGGAAAGAAAATAATGTTCTAGGTCTTTTCCCTTAGTTTTCCAAGCTGACAAGCATTTTGCTATCTCAAAGATTGTAGCAGTTCTCATGGATTTTAAAAATGGGGCTGGTTGGCCACAGTTAGGAATTATTTAAAGAATTCCTGCACCAAGCTGGGATTGGAATGGATAATCTATACATCCCTTCCAGCATATCCATTATATGATTTTACAAACAGTACACAACTGACACATTTAAAACTACCTAGTGATAACTGATGCCGTTTTGGACACAATGGCCATGTGGCTGTTAACACTCAGAATATGAACTGTAGCAGGTGGATAAGGTGCACACTTGGGTAAGGCTTCCAATGGATTGTTGAGAAAAAGTTCTCTGAAGAAGGAAATGTATAACACAGATTTAGAACATAAAGCTTTCTAACATTAGCTATTGATCTACAATGCAATTAAAATCAGTTTGACTTTAAATCTTAATATTTGTATTGTATGTTGGTACAGCATTATATATAACTCCAAGTGTTCGTATGTAATTTGGATCATACCAAGGAGTTACTTCAACAAATGTTAAAAGGAATTGCTCCTCTACAAAACTGGCTATATCTACCTTAAGCTAAATATTTAATATTTAGTTGGTTAACACTGAAGATAAAATGCTGGGATAGACTGAATTCTGAGTTTACCCTTACAGCTCTTCATTCTTTATAATGTATTATCTCCAGATTTAGTCAATATTAGATTAAAAGATAAAAATTCAAATCAAATTCAAATCCTCCTGATGGTATCCATTCAAGTATTTTTGGCAATACACCAAAGGAGTTTACCTTCCTCCAAGGGTGCTTGTTTTTTAAAAAAATTATTTCCTAGTTTAGCCAAATGTTTGAAATTCCCAGGTGGTCCAAGTACTAACCAAAGCTGACTCTACTAAGTTTTTGAGATAAGTCAAGATGGGGGAGGCACTGCCACCTATGGAGACTCCACATTTAGAATAGCTCTCCTGGAACAAATGAGAACTAAGTTATGTCTAGCAAAGACTAATTTGATTTAAAAGACTAATCTTACATCTGGTTCCACCACTGACATTTTCTAACCACCGTATAATTTTTGGTATCTTTTAGAAGTGATGGAAATCCTATTGGTATTCATGTATAAATTCAGAATGATATAATTCTCCCTCAGACATTATGACTATTAATAATATTCTCAGATTACAATTCCAAATAATTTCTAGAATTCTACCAATGAAACTGTAGTTCAAATCTAGGCAACACAACTTCTAATAGAAAAACAAGGTGAATAAAGAACATATTATGATATATATTGAAGAAACCAAGAAGTATTTACCTCCTGAAAGATGGAGCAGAGATATTAGGTCCAGAAAGTGTGGTAGAAGAAATGGCAGTAAGAGCTGGTTCTATGGTCACAGAACTAGATGCATTTCCTTCTGCCCTGTTTCATGGGAGTTTGTTTCCGTTCCATCCCCAATCCGAGAATAAGTCAAATGTTCAAAGATTTTTTTCCCCAAAGTTTATATCTACACATTTCTTTGGATATACTGCAAGGTTGTGTGAGTTTTAATACAGTGAAACACTTGATTAGTATGCATGTTAAATTTGAAGTTTGTTGCATTTGGTATAGTTCCTACTATTTTTCTAAAACAGTCAAGACTGAGTAAACACACACAATTTAGATCTGTGTGACAATTCAATAGTTAGATAAAATAACAGCAGATCCTCGTGATGCCCAGGTTTTATCTTACATCTGAATGTTCTGAATACATCCTCAGAATAAGTTTCAATAAAATTGAAATAGCATGCAGACCTAATCAGATCTAGAATAGCAATTGTTTCATTTTTGGCAAACAGACACAGAAAAACATCCAAGAGCATATGTCATGTCGCTTTGGCACATTACTACTACTTTGCGTCCCCACTTCAACCCCACAACAAAAGAGCATCAATAACATAATCTCTTTTTTTCCCAGCAGTTGAGATCACAGTAAGTTTCCCTTGATCTTCTTTACCACCTAGCCACTTTCCATGCAATAAGCACAGAACATATGAAGGATTATGATGTGTGAACGTGCCCTCTATGTAGAAAAGAAGCAACTGTAGTTTTTCCCAAAGCCTTGAGTCTAATAGTAATTGGTAGTAGCTGGTAGTAGAAGTGGCGATAAACATAGTGCTCTGACTTTCAAATGTGATATTTACCCAATCAAGAATGCGCGTGACTTTTTAAGATATTATTAATCGTTGTATTACTACATGGTACAAATGAGTTTTCATAACAAAGGTTAGGCATGCCAGTGACCTGTGAATTGATGGAATCATGAAAGAGAAGCCAACCTTTGAACCTGTGGTGGTAGTGCTGACTGTTGAACTTCTTCAGGTATTTCACAGATCTGAGTAGTTACATGATGGGACTGCTGAGCTTCTGGTCCATTCGTTAGATTTCTAGATATGATTTATATGTAAGAATAATACAGAATGCTTGTGTTTTTAAGTCTAGCTACTGTAGAAAATACAACTTTTTTTATAGAATAAAAACAGTAATAATAAGGCAATCAAATACATTACAGATTTTTTAAAAATTTAGCTTTAGAAAGAAACAGATTTAACGTTTGATCTGCCCTACAAAGCCAGGATATGTAGATGGATGGGCTGCCCCCCCCCCCATTTCAGCAGCTATCAGTATTGATGGTTATGCCCATCTGCATCTGATTCCTGGCAAAATAGCTTTATAAAAACTGAACTTGGTAAACTTGGTAAACAAGAATAAGGCACAGTTAAGGATTATCAGAAACAGAAGGAAAAATGGTAGGAGCAATGGGACATAAAGATCTGGGGGAATCAGTTTGTAGAAATATTTATGGCTTTGGGGGAAAAAAGGCAAGAATAATGCAAATACTGTGCCTGCATTGATATTAGCATAATCTGTGGGGAAGGCTCAAGAAGGGACATACTGGATAACAGCTGACGCTGAACAGAATCTGGTAGTTCTTTACAGTGCTCATGTGTTCTAGCAGAAGGAACAAGGATCCAGGTTTCATTGTGATAGGAAAACGAAAACAAATATATACAGGCCTATGCAAAATTCACATAAAAATCTTGGAAGCAACTGAATGGCCCTCCATTCTTTCAAATGGTAATACAGTGGTATCAAGAATACGATGTTTAATTCTGTGATGGGTCCTTCAAACCCTAATGAAATTAGATATTGAACTCAGAAGCTGTGTTCTGTAGGATCAAAATCAATACCTTTTCCCAGACTGAGAAACAGAAGTTGCATGGCCAGGGCTGAATCAATTTATACTGCTGTAATTGTATTTTCATTTGGGGGGGGGGGTAATGTCACTAGATGTAACAGCCTATGGCTCTATGTATACATTTAATAAATAAACTAATCAAAGCTTTTTTCCGGGCTGAGTAAAAAAACCATCTAGAAGACTTGAAGGGGCTACAAACTTTCTGTGAAGATCAATATAATCCAAAATCTAAGGTGGTAAAGTTTAATGCAAACTCCTATAGAAGCAAGTTCTGATTCCAATTATCACAAAGAATTAGGACCATTCTACGAACCATGGAGAACAGACTTTAAAACTTTTTCACTGTACCACCAATATATGTCTTACACCTTTAAAGAGGCAAGCATGGGAGCCATATAGCAAAAGATTAATCAGTTTAGCTCTAAAAAAATATTACTGGCAGTGGACACAGGGTTACCACCTCCACTGACTCTCAAAATACAATCCTAGGTTTAGTCCTATGAGCTCAATTAGTGACAATTTTGGATTGTTTGCTCCAAACTATGAAGGACTGAAAACTAATTCCTAGATATTTAAAAGCCTGTATTTGTTCAATGCTGGTATTATTTATCGACCAATGAGGAGTATGACTGGCAAGTCTTTTGGTGAATATCACTATTTTTGCCTAAGGACTGTTGATGACAAGTTGATGACCCAATTATATCAAGCCATAAGGCTTGCTTGCAGGGAAGAATTGTTGGGTGCAGAACAGTAATGATGCAGAGATGAAAATAGTTTGTGCTATGAAGAGGAAAAGACATATAAGGGGAAAAGGCAGACTGACCTAAAACAGCCCTAGGGAAAAAACAAGAATGTGAATATTAAGAAGTACAAGAAAAATAGGTTACAGACATAGGAATAATTACAGAAAAAAACACTTTTCTTAAACAGTGCTTTCCCACTTTTGCAAAAGCAATGCATTCTTTGAGTGAAGAAAAACATAAAAATGATCCAGGATTGATTTGCATAATACCTTCCTGACCCTACAAAGCTACGAAAATGAAAGACAACCACCAGAAGGCTAACTAAAATTATCTGGCATCATTTTTCTGGTAAATGTTCTGGTAGATAATTTGGTAATTATTGCCAGATACCAAAATAGGCCAGAATCCTATTACAATAATGGCTGTGGCAAACAAAGGAGAATTCAGTCTGTACTTTCACTGTTTTGCAACTTTTTGTACAAATTTTATTCATTCCAATTAGGTCTACCCCATGGATGATACAAAGCATTTTTACCAACTTCAGTTCCCAGAATTCAGTCATGCTATGTTGAAACTCTGAGAGCTGTAGTTCCAACACATCTGGAAAACACCATATCAGTAAAGACAGATGTTTAGCCATTCCCACCAATTTGCAATAATCCGAACTGGCACCACTGGTGAAACAGTATGAGGATGAACTAAAAGTAATCCTGGATATAATATCACAATACATTGTTCAGAGTAGAAATCATGCCACATGCAACCCTTGTGGTTTGCAACTATAAAAACACTGGAAAAACATTAGCCTGGTTTAAAAGATAGGCCAGGAAAAAAGAAATGACAGATTACTGTGAAAATTAATTTGTAGAGCCTATTTATTGCCTTCTGTAAACATGGCTCAAGTACAAGATTAAACATTGAAAAGCCAGTATAAATAACAGTTTAAAGCCCCAAAATAATGATAGCAGAGTAACTAAGTATCCTTTGAAGAGCATTTCCTGAAGTGCAGTGTTCAGCTTAGTATTGGTCCTTGGGGAAAATAAACCCTAGTCCTTCGAAATACACAAACAATTTTGCCCAGAGTGTGGCAGTTACTGAAGGGGAAAGAGGAAAAAAAAAAGATTCCTCTAAAGCTTTCCCACTGGGAATTGGGCAACCTAAGCCTTCAGAAACTTACTTTACTCGTTGCAAAAGTCCACCCATCATTTGGTGCACATGCATGTTTACATTTTGGGGCTGTAAAAAAAGTACTAGAAAGAAAAAAATGTTCTGTCGCTATATAAAATTTGGGAAATCCTGATTTAAAGTAATTTCTAGATCTGCCATGAATTCCATCTTCAATTCCACTGACTAGTCAACAGAAATGTTAACCTGGAGAACAGTGGCTATCATGGCTAAGAAATCGGTGATTAAGTACTCCCCAATATCTCCCATGAATACCTGCAAAATCCCTAATATGTTTTCAGGAGCTCCAAAAGCAACATTTTAATTATTACAGAAAACCACAGTTTCTTTAATTAACTAGTGTTCATCCCATAGTGTATGATGATATAATAACATATTTTCAAGTGTTCAAATGTGCGTCAGGACATTCCTTTCTTACAGTAATCCTGCAGGTCAATATTATCACTCCCATAACACAGATGGGGGAGATCTACAGTCGTGTGAAAAAGACAGTACACCCTCTTTGAGTTCTATGGTTTTACATATCAGGACACAATAAAAATCATCTGGTCCTTAGCAGTTCTCAAAAGGAGGTAAATACAACCTCAGATGAACAACAACATATGATATATTACACCATGTCATCATTTATTTTACAAAAAGAAAGCTAAAATGGAGAAGCCATGTATGAAA